AGACCCCCAAACGAAGAGCTACATCATTTTGTCGCATGCCACCTTGAAGAAGCCCTACAGCTCTATTCATCTCAGCCAATGGTAAGTGATGGCGTTCCATGTTAAAGCACAATATTTCCAGTTTAATTGCTGAGCAAGAACTTCATAGAATGTACAAACTCGACACTTTCAGATTATTCATTTTAGCCGAAAACCTACAGTTTGTAAAAAACTTGATAAAATATTTAGTTACCGTTTTTGCAGGCTTTGTTCAACCCATAGAAATCTACAGGGTGGTCGAGTGTACTAATGTAATCGAAATTAAACGACCTCATGCGTTTATTTTTATGATATTTAGTATGTTATGAAAATATCCATAGGCTTTTCCGATGTGTGTATATGAATGTGCGATACAACACTTTAGCTACTCGAATATAATCTGAATGGGAGAGAACAAGTAGTACGAATCGACAACCATTTGAATCAACCTAAAAAAATGAGTTACAGAGTGCGACAAGGCACTGTACTTGGACCAATTCTGTTCTCTCTGTATATAAATGACCTCTTTGCCCTGGAAATGTGATAAGTATCAGTAATAATACAGCTTTCATTCATATGGCCAAAACGTACAGCGAACTGAAAACAGAAACTGAAGAAGCCTTCACCAAAATATTTGATGGGTTTCATCATAAAAGACTAACTCTAAAATGAAGAAATGATTTCGTGCCTTTCTTTAATTATAAAGGCAATCTTCCCCATTCCCGAAAACATGACATAAAAACTGCTTCTCAAAGCATCAGAACATGCTGAAAACGACCTCAAATATCAAGGAATACTTATGCAAATATGCAAGAGAAAAATCAAACTCAGTGAGACTGCGTACACCGGTGCAATAACAGAGGAGGTTGAACTATCATATGTATGATCTCTCTATTCTTTCTTCATGTGGTTTCCGTCAAAAGTAGAAACTTATGTGAGCTAAGGATCCAGGATCCACTAGGTCTTACTTTTTGACATGCTGTCCCGCTGTGAATGAATAAAAAAATTGTTTTGTATTTTTCAGTTCGGAAATTTTTTGGAAAACGAGCGAAATCTTCAGGATATCGATGTAGCACAAGAAAATTGAAATATGCAGAGGCGATATCAGTTTTCAGGCGATAGTGATGAGCAACCGCTCTTGGAAACGTAAGAAATATTTCTATTTCTCCTATTCCGTTCATGACGTTAAAAGATTGAAGTTCGAAATGGACGATTTCAGAAAGAAATAGAATGAGATATTTTGTTCAGAATAATGAAATGTTCTTCTCTTTCCAGTTATCTGAAGGAAAAATAGGAACAGCTGTTTTCCATTTTTTGTTTTAGGTTTATTACTATCATAAAGAATCTAAGAAAAATCACCAATCTGCCACTTTTTCCCTGCTACATAACAGTTTTTCAGATTTGCTATCCGACGTTTCGTCTCCCAGCCAACATCATCAACTTTATTTTTTCTTATGGGCGCTACATTCGATTCTTCCTGTTTTGAATAGAACCACATTTAACCGTTTCAATGATGTATCTGTAGAGTAGGGAGAGTGAGTGTAAGCCGACGCACTTAGGCCACATGTGACCCATTGTACATCCTCCCGAAGAGTTGTCCTCCTAGGTCATCGTCCATCCTGTCCTTTCCAGGAAGGTGGACAGGTGGGAGACATCTCCTTTATATCGGCAGGTGTAGGCCAAGACTCGCCGAACACACACTCTCTTATTGACGATAACTCCGGGCACTCGCACAGGACATGCCCGACAGTCTCATAGGGGTGAAAGACCCCATGCGCGTCCCACTGTCCTCCGACATTGCTCATAAGCCACGTATGCTCTTTTTGCTCTACTCTGTAGATGAGAGTTCCATCATAAGTTATAATTTTTTTTCGAAAAATTGGAGAGATTGAAAAAAAAATAATTCTTATCATAAAAGGCTTCGATGTTTTTGAATTTGACTTTAAATTTTTCACACTCGATGTCATTTTGTTATTGTACAAGTGATTTTTGGAGAAAAATGACTTTCACAAATGAAGAAAAAAGAGATATGATACAAATTCAATACAAATACAATAGAAACAGTGTTAGGACATCGAAAATGTATTCAAACTTGTATCCCGAAAGACGACAACCACATCGAACTAAGTTCAAGTTATTGGATCAAAATCTCACCGAGTTTGGTTCGTTTCAAAAGCCAATGAAAAAATACGGAGACACAATCAACAATCAAAATTTGATAAATGTTCATGTTCATGATAACACAACTGTGCCATTCTTCGAATATTATTCACTGCCCGATTAATTTCCTTTCTACTCAATCTTCCAAACTCTCTAACAATGCTGTGTTGAAATTCCTCAATATTTTTATTCCCTCTGACCATAAACTCTATTTTTCAGTGAATCCCATAAGAATGTATCCATAACACTTAAGTCTGGAGACCTTGCTGGCCACTTCACCGGCCCATTATTTCCTATTCATTTTCCACCAAACCTTTCAGTCTGGTAAATAGATACTCGTCTGGTAGTGTGCGGTGGAGCACCATCATGTTGAAACCAGATGTTGTTATAGTTAGCCAAAGGTAGACCATCCAAATAGTCTTCAAAAATCGTTACTTAAACTAGTGATAGGTTTCTCCATTCAGAATTAATGAGGATCCAAAATTATATCTTTGTAATATCCTGCCCACACGTTAATACTAAATCGCAATTGAGGTCGAATTTTTCGGAACTGCTTGGGGTTGTTTATGCTCCAAATGTGTTCGTTATTTCGACTGAATATCCCACAATTCGTAAAAGTGATTTCATCTGTCCAAATTACATTTTCAGGGAGAACAGGAAAATCAGGGCTTCTTATTAGCCAATTACGAAATTCTAATCGCCTTTCGGGATCACATGAAGGCAATTTTTTGAGATGTCTTCAAGAACTTTTATGACAAATATTCATTTGACGTGTAGATTTCCTCGGTTTCATGTTCATCTGCAAATTAATAATTTTTATTGAACAGGACACAATGTCTAACTTACCTCATACCTCATTTATCAACTTTTCTTTAGTTTCCTGGTCCATTGTCTCCGTATTTTTTCCTCGGCCTTTCAAATGAACCAAACTCGGTGATATTTTGATCCAATAACAATAACGATGTGATTGTCGTCTTTCCGGATACAAGTTTAAATACATTTCCGATGTCCTAACACTGTTTCTATCGTATTTGTAATAAATTTGTATCATATCTCTTTTTTCTTCATTCGTGAAAGCCATTTTTCGCCAAAAATTCAAAGACTTGTACAATAACAAAATGTCATTCAATGTAACAAATTGAAAGTCTAATTTAGAAACATTGATGATGGTGGCCGAACAACGAAACGTTGCGAATCTGAAAAAACCATTATATGTATAGCAGGGAAAAAGTGGCAACATGGAAGAGCAATTTATTTTCGAATCCTTCGAACAAGTATCTGTGTAATTCATATTGAACATTGTTTTCAATAAACATTTCTGCATTACGAAAATACGTTCCAGTTGTGTACTCCCTCCCCATACTAACATTCCATATTTCAGCAGAGGATAAACAGTCCCATAATATGCCGTTTTCAGTGCATCGATTTTCAAGTGACGTCTCAACACTCTAATTGCATAACACTTATTTGCTAGTTTTTTTGCAAGATAGTCAATATGTACCTCATAATTCAGTTCATCATCTATATAAATTCCTAACAACACTCCGTCCCCATGAGTATTGGGTAAAACAGTGTTGCTATTCCTTGCCTTGTTGTTGAGGGTATTTATCATAATCCAGGTGGTTCTTGATTTGTTGTCACTTTCTTCAATCAAATTTTTGAAATAGTCACTTTTTGATTGGTAGCAAATTGCCAAAAACGACTCTCCTCAATTGTCTCTGGTCTGGTCTCTGCTGACTCCCTTGCAAAGGAAGGTGCTGTAAGCAGCTTCATTGGACCAGACTCTGTCATTGGCATCGCTTTAGGCTTTGCCAAACAAAGACTGAACACCTGGATGGTGAGAAAATGTATGGACTTCTGGCAGTATCTTCCACGATTGACTCACTCTGAGGCTCACGTCTAAATTGGTAGCAAATTGCCAAAAACGACTCTCCTCAATTGTTTCTGGTCTGGTCTCTGCTGATTCCCTTGCAAAAGAGGGTGCTACAAGCAGTTTCATCGAAACAGAACCTGTCATTGGCATCGATTTAGGCTTTGCCAAATAAAGACTGAACACCTGGATGGTAAGAAGATGTATGGACTTCTGACAGTATCTTCTAGGATTGACTCACTCTGAGGCTCACGTCTAAATTGGTAGCAAATTGCCAAAAACGACTCTACTCAATTGTCTCTGGTCTGGTCTGGTCTGCAAGCAGCTTCATCGAAACAACCTGTCATCGGCATCGATTCAGGCTTTGCCAAATAAAGACTGAACACCTGGATGGTAGGAAGATTTATGGACTTCTGGCAGTATTCTCCAGGATTGACTCACTCTGAGGCTCACGTCTGAATTGGTAGCATATTGGCAAAAACGACTCTCCTCGATTGTCTCTGGTCTGGTCTCTGCTGACTCCCTTGCATAGGAGGGTGCTGCAAGCAGCTTCATCGGACCAGAATCTGTCATTGGCATCGCTTTAGGCTTTGCCAAACAAAGCCTGAACACCTAGATGGTAAGAAGATTTATGGACTTCTGGCAGTATCTTCCAGGATTGACTCACTCTGAGGCTCACGTCTAAATTGGTAGCAAATTGTAAAAAACTACTCTCCTCAATTGTCTCTGGTTTGGTCTCTGCTGACTCCCTTGTAAATGAGGGTGCTGCAAGCAGCTTCATCGGACCAGAATCTGTCATTGGCATCGATTCAGGCTTTGCCAAATAAAGACTGAACACCTGGATGGTAAGAAGATTTATGGACTTCTGGCAGAATCTTCCAGGATTGGCTCACTCTAAGGCGTTCATTCACCCTTCGAGGCTTGATACCAAACAGTTGTTGGACTACAGTAGGGATGGACTACGATGGAAAATGATGAAACAGCAGAGCATATACTTTGTGTCATAATCACCTCGACTGGATATCATTTACTAGTTGAAGGTGGGATAATTCATATGGCTGGCAGAGCTGGCAGAGCCAAGATGCTTCCTAGGTAGTTCGGAGAGTTATCAACAGTGCCTACCCAGAACACAAGACTAATGACCACAGTAGTCGATGCCATGAACACCCAAAAAGATATAATCTACTGAAATCGTTCATTCAAGTTCCAGCTGGCCAAATAAACTGTACTTATTCTAATTTTCAGAATTGAACATAAAGAAAACTGGGATAGATTCAAAAATGAACCACGAACGTCGCCGACTGGTTCAACAATGGACACCTCATTGATAGATTTTGGGGTGAAATTGTTGAAACTGGTCACTGTAATTGTTACATTCAATGTCGTGCTTGGTACTGCAGTTATTTCCAAGGGTACCCTATTATTCATGACATCACAAGTTAAAAATAATACGATGAGACCATACTGCAATAAACATATTGGTAAGTAAAATTTCATCAGTATAGTAATAGTATCACTGAATCGAAATCAGTTTATTCTTTCCAAATAACTCGAGTAAAATTTCAACGAGAATTACACACCTGTAATTTTGAACCAATCAAAATACGTTTTTTTGACAAATCACCATGACAAAGGA